TTGGAGGTGCAGCTTTTTCAGCCGACCTTGCAAAAGACACTGAACCTCTGAGACTCAGTTTCCCTGTTGGTAATAGAGAGGCGATAACAGCATCTTACCCCACAGGGTGGCAAGGAAATTGACTGAAAAACAAATGGAAATTTAAAAAATGCGAGACAACAGGTGGGCCATTGCCAATGCTTATTGTCACAACTAGATTTATCAGCCTCCCGTTCTCCTAAGGCTAAGCCTAGCAGTCACTACGTATTCAGCAGCCAATAATGAATGGTGAGATGGAGACCTCAGCTAGGGGGCTGTAGTCTCACTTTACCTTCCCATCAGGCCTTGAGCCATGGGGGAGCTCCCACGAGGCTGTGTAATATGGAAGGAACCATTGGGACTGTGGTACCCTGTAAGGACATTCCCATGTCACTGGAAGGAACAGAGAAAGAGGACTGGGTGCTATAAGACCTGGGCACCCATCCTGTTTGGTGCCAACAGACAGAGCCACCGTTGGTGACCTACTTCTCACCCGACAGTCAGCTTCTAGCTAGGCAGTCCTCCTGACCCTGTTTTACTAATGATGACTGGTTTATAAGCTGACAGGACACTCCCCACACTCCAAGCAGGAAGTGGAGGAGAGGATTCAAACAATTGGTCCTTTAGCAATTGATCACTGGGCCTGGCCACACAGTTCTTGCTCCTTGACTAAGGACAATAAACACAGCGAAGCTTCAGGTCGAGTGGGGACCTCCGAAGGATGGTTTAGGAGGGGAGACCTCCACACAGCCCTAGGTGTCCCTGGCAGCATCCTAGCCTTCTGTCCAGGATGCAGAGTAGCCATACAGTATGGGAGAGCCAGCTGCCTTCCCCGCCCCCACCACCACTGGGGAAACCTGGATTAGGAGCCTTCCTGTTTGTGTGAAACATGGGGTGATCCTGTCTGTCAGGGAGCCTGCAGGAGTGGAGGTGGGACAGAGACACAGAACTCAACTGGGCTGGGAGGCCGGGGTTTCACACCAACTAACGGGACTAGTGGCTACAGAGCCCCTGGGGGCTGCAGAGGCATCAGGGTTTTTTGTCAGCTGTAGCCCCCTCTTGGATGTGGGAGAAGATTAAGAAGAAAGATTAGAATCATTCACAGTGTGGCAAGCTCACTTGCTCACACTTTGGCACAAACGAATTAAATGAACACAGCCCTGAGACAGGTGCCATCCTCAGAGGTGAGGACAAGGGTCCCTAAGGGGGTTAGGTCATTATCGGCTGTTGCCACTCCCAGTTTGGGTCTGGGGTCACAGCCTGCGCCTGAACTCTGAACCCTTCTGCCCCAAGGCCTTCCTCAGCGTGAAGCTGCCCAGACAGACAGTCGCTGAGAGAAAAGAATAAAATGGGGTCCACCCTTGGTTCTGGGACTGTTCCACAAAGGGGAGCTTCTCTTGGAAGCACTTAGGAGCAAAGAACCCCTCAACCAGGGTCAGCCCCATCCACAGGTCCATGTGACCCCTGCCTCCCCACAGCCAACATCCTCTCAGATGGGGACATCGGGGTGGACATTTCCTTGACGAGATCACCCGTCATCACGGCCACCTACCTTGAGTCCCATCATAAGGTAGGCATGTTAGGAGGGGCCGGACTTCTCCTTGTACTCTTGGGTTTGGTCCTTACCCTCCACTTCCTTCCCCTAACTTTTACTTCATGGAAGTCAAGTGACCCTCACCACACCTCTGTAAGACATTTTAAGACATGGACAGAAAAGCAGGACCTCTGTCCATGTGCCCATGCCCTGTTCAGCACTGACTCCATTACAAAATGTTTATTTGCTTTCTGGTCTCTCCAACAGCAGCCACTCAGGGTAGCCACTGCCCCTCAACAGCAGCCACTCAGGGTAGCCACGGCCCCTCATAGAATCTGACGAAAGCCATGGGTTGTACCTATTGTAACAGAGACCCAAGAGAACAGCTTGACGCCCACAGTTAATCAGCTTCCTTGGGAAATGGCCTGGGGGTTTTGGCCGAAGCAGTGTAAACGATACAGCTGTATTGTGACCTGAATGCTACACCTTCTCTTCTCACACCCTACGGGCCTGGTCTCAATCACATGATCACCTAGCTGAGAAGGTTATTCCATGGAACAGTGAACCTGACTAAGGCCTGGGTGTTACAGAACTCTGAGAGTCACCAATCATCTCTCCCAAGGGGGCTTGTCCCTGGGAAAGAGACCAAAAGGAACACTTCAGGAGGGTGTGGATGCCGATGAAGACCCTCCACCACATGTGGGTGGCTGTTGTCAGTGGGCATGAACTGCTAGTGGCTCGTCTTCCTCACTCTGTTAACTGGGGCTAGTGGCCGTGGACTGTCAGCTCCCTGAAGGCACAGGGCTGGTAGCCAGGGTGGGAGCATGGAGACCATGGTCCAGATGCTCTGACGGCCATCTTTGGTGAAGTACCAGCCTGGGAAGTGGTGACCAAGCCCACCTGACACCTCACCCTGTGCTAGGAGCCTATCGGGCACTTTAGCTGCAGTCACTGAGTGCAGGTGTTCCTCAGTTTCCCTGTCTGTCTTTGACTAGACGCTTTGCCTTCCAAAGCTCCACTTTTCTCCCTGAGCTTGGCTCCTGAGCCTGGCAGGGCTAAGGAGAAGAGCATCAAGTGTACCAGTTTCTTTCAGGGCCATTTCATCTACAAGAACATTTCTGAGGTGCGCCTCCTCCCTTCCTTCTCACCCACGCTGCTGGGGGACACCCGAATGCTCTACTTCTGGTTCTCTGAGCAAGTCCTCGACTCCCTAGCCAAGGTTGCCTTCCAGGATGGTCGCCTCCAACTCAACCTGGCAGAGGCAGAGCTCAGGGTAAGGGGCAGGTTGGACTGCTGGGACAACCATGTGTGTGATGGGCTATACGCATTCATCCCCACCCAGGGTGGGGGAGTCTAAAGGAAACTTTGGGTGTCGGTCAGAGGAGCCATGAACCGCCGAAGCTGCAGCCATAATTTAGATTCTAGCATTTTTTTTTTTTGGTACCCACTATGTGTGGTGTATAAGAGTCACTGATCAATGAAACAATAGACAGGCAGATGTAATTACAGATATTTTTGGCACATGGTGATTATGCAAATTACCTGCTGTTAGCATCGCTGCTGCTGCCATTTTTGTTGCACTGGCTGCAGGTAAGTAGGGTTGCCACTTTTGAGTATGCAAAAGCGTTCAGCCAAAATTAAGAAATCCAAAAAACCCTGAGAGGATAGGCAGCTTGTCCTCGATAGCTCAAGAAGTGACTCACAAGCCAGCACCTTACATGGCTGCTTAGCTGGCTTACAGACCACACCTGCCTGTGAATTAATGGGGGGGGGGGACTGGGCTCCTACAAGGTCCGGCAGCCTAGGTGTCACAAGCCTCCAGCTAGGTCAGGATTTCTTATACCAAACCCTTCCCTGATCTAATCTGGGGGTTGAGTTTCAAGAGAGGTCCAACCCATGGCGTTGCACCCCACGCCTGAAGTGTCTTTCTGAGGAGTGACCCCACCCTCACTCACCTTTCTCTTGTAGGCTGTGCTAGAGACTTGGCACTTCAACCCTAACCGGGAAATCATTCCGGAGGTAAGTTCTTGTAACTCGGGGTTTGGCTTATGCACCCCATCCTGCCCCTACTTCAGGAGCTCCCCTATCCCCAGCCAGTTCAGCAGTCAGAACACACATATGAGCAAGGACAAGCTCCTGGGTGTCCAGTCTGAGCTAAGACTGTCTGTCTACCTATCATCTCATTTGGAACTTTGTACAGCCCCGAGAGCCAGACACTGTTCTGAGCGCCATTTTCCCACTGGACAGCCTAGGGAATGACAGGGCTGCCTGTGAGCCAGCCATGATGACTCTAAAGATTATGCCCCATACCCTGCTCCATACCGAGTCCACAGGGTGGAGGGTGGAACCCTAGGATTAGCCCCAGGCTCTCTCAGGGGGCCCAGACAATAGGCCGTGACTACTCACTACTGATTCTGGACCGAGCCTCAGAGTCTGCTCTCTGAATGTCACAGCTTTCCCCATGCTGAGCGGTGATGATGTCTATAAACCTGTTTCTCAAGGCGAGGCCCTAATCTTGAAGGGACCAAAGCCCTTTCTGGGTAAACTCCTCCTGTCTTCTCAAGGACTCACTTCCCACCTGTTGGAGGGAGGCTGCTTGTTCGTTCTGGCCTCTCAGAACTGAAATAATCACACAGAAACTGTATTAATTAAATCACTGCTTGGCCCATTAGCTCTAACTTCTTATTGGCTAACTCTTACATATTAATATAACCCATTTCTATTAATCTGTGTATTGCCACGTGGCAGTGGCTTACCGGGTAAAGCTCTGGGGCTTCTCTCTGACTCCGCCCTTCTTTCTCCCAGCATTCAGTTTAGTTTTTCCCACCTAGCTAGGTTCTGCCCTGCTATAGGTCCAAAGCAGTTTCTTTATTCATTAATGGTAATCCCAGCATGCAGAGGGAAATCCCGCTTCAACCACCCACTGTGGTGGTTGTTTGGATATTTTCACACCACCCTAAATTTTTCAGGTGCTCTCCCAGCTTCCCGCTACCTCCCATCCCACAAATTCAGTAACTCTCTGCAACTGCTTCTCCCAGAGTGGCCCCAACAGAGCTCCTTTCTGTTGCTGTCCCAACTCACCCCCTCCTGCTCCTCCTGGCGGGGTGGGGTCTTCCTGGCCTAGCAGTGACAGCCCTTCCTTTCTGAAATTCCAGTCTTCCCTTCCCAGCCTAGGTTGCTTCTTCCTTCCAGAGATGCAACTCAGAACACAGGCAAACGTCTGATTTGTCCTCCCTCATCCCCACCCCATGTGCCATCATGGCATCCACATTACAGTTAGTCTGTCTACTTCTCTTTGTTCCCATCTCCAGCCCCAGGCCCAGCTACTGTGTGTGTGTGTGTGGGGTCTCTGCAACCTCAACAGGCTGCGGAGAGATGAGCCAAGGGAGGCAAGAAGACAGTTCAGCACAACTCAGCAGCCGGTGATAGTACAAACTTCTGGAGTCTGTCCCTGAGGGTTTATTTTAGGCATCTTTAAGCGTAGCACAATCTAGTGGAAACTATTCTGCTGATAATTAACTCAGTTCCATGCGCACAACAAAGCATACATAAAGCTCCTTGAGGAGCAAAGTAAGTTAAACTCAGGCCAGACAAGGCTTGGTTCTGTAAATTGACAGGGAAAGCACAATGCTAAATGTTCAGCTCAGGAAGTCCTGCACCTCGACATACGGAATCACAAATGCATCTTTCAGTCCTGGCTTTCACGGAGTTTACTTTCTGCGTGGCTGCTGTTGTCCGAAGACAGGGCTTCACCATACGGAAGGCTCACGCTAGCCTCAAATTTTGCATGTAGCCGAGGCTGCTCTCCAGTTTTTGACCATGCTTGGGCCCTTCTCGTCTACACCTCTACGCCACTTGAACCTCCATGTGGTTTCCTTTGGCGAGGGTAGTCTCAGTATTTCTTCCACAGACAGGAAATGTCTTGCTCCCATCCGTACACCTCACCGATTTCAGAGAACACCGAAGCTCAGGGACACGCACCTCAGTGCCACATTCTCTACGGTGTCCCGGGGCTTCACTGCGTACAGCTTCACCTCTCAGCTGAGTCCCCGAAAGGCCTGTCTCCAGAACCTAGGATTGGCCCTTTCTTTATTTTGAGTTCAGCTTTGTGTTAAGTAAAGCTTCTTATTTGGGGCACTCACTGGCCGAGTGGTGCTTTTGGGAGAAGCTGCTGACCCAGTCCCACTGGCTGCAGGTTCTGCAACTCTGCCCAGCTGATCTGCCCGCTGCCTTCCTCCTGTGAGCTAAGCTCCACCCACAGGGCCTTTGCTGTCTCGTCCGTCCTCCCTTCCCCCTTCCCCATCTGATTCTTTTCCATCTATGGGGTGGGCCTCTACCACCCACCTCCTGATCTAAGTCAGATCCTTTGTCCAAGACTCTTGTACCCTGGCCTGGTCCCTCTCCCCTTTCACATACTCTAATTGCAATTGTACACTTCGTTTGGGGATTCTAGAACGAATGCTGGGCTTTGCTGGTAGAGACCATGTGTGTTTAGCTCTCTGCTTGAATCCAGTTCCTGATCAGAGCTGAAGTTAGTAAGGTTCCCAAAAATATCATTAGAAGCAACAGAAGGCTGTCAAAATCTCTCAGCAGGCTGTCAAAATCTCTCTCTCTCTCTCTCTCTCTCTCTCTCTCTGTGTGTGTGTGTGTGTGTGTGTGTGTGTGTGTGTGTGTGTGTGTGTGTTTGGGTTTTCTACACAGGGTTTCCCTGTGTAGCCCTGGCTGTTCTGGAACTTGTTCTGTAAACCAGGCTGGCCTCGAACTCAGATTCGCCTGCCTCTGCCTTCTGAGTGCTGGGATTACAAGCATGTGCCACCGTACCCGGCTTTAAAAACAAAAAACAAAAAAAAAAACCCCAAAAAACAAAAAAAACCCAACCCCCTAAAAATCCAATTCTCCCCAAAAAACCTCTTTATTCTTTTCATCACCTCTACTGGGTCCCTAGTAGAAGCAGCTCTTGGCTGTACATGTTGGTGATCTCATTTATTCCCCACTGTTGTCACCCCCATTTCACAGATCAGGAAAAGAGAGGTCCACAAAGCTACGTGAATGTGTCCTTCCCATGCCCCTGCAGGAGGAAGAGAAACAGCAGTATTTGCTGTCCCCCATACAGATAACAAAACCGAGGGCCTGGGGGGGGGGGGTAAAAGTCTTAACTTATTTTAATTTTTTTAATGTATATTTACTTACTTACTTACTTTTATGTATGTGAGTATTTTCCCTGCATGTTTGTATGTGTGCCACATGTGTGCCTGGTGCCCACGGACTCCAGAAGAGGGAGTGAGATCCCCTGGAATGGAATTACAGACTAATGTGAGCCCATGTAGGTGCTAGGAATCAGGTGAGGGTCCTCTGGAAGAGCAGCCAGCTCTCATAACTGCTGAGCCGGTCTCTCCAGTCAAGCGCTAATGTCTTGATGTGTCACTGTTAAGTTAGTTTTGAGCTACAGCTCAGAGCCTGAGCCACTTCCCTGAGCTGTTTATACTCACCCGGGACTCCAGCCAGTCTGATCCCTCCAGCCTCCTGTGGCAGTAGCCACAGCCCTTCTGATGGTTTCTTCTGTTCCATGGGATCCCTGTCTCTCCACAGCTGTTCAGTGGCCTCCTCACTAGCCCGGGCCGAATCACCGTCCACTGCCCGAGGAGGCCCACGATCTCCTGCCAGAACAAAGGTGTCGTGGTCAGTTCCCCTGTGGTGATAGAATTTCTCTTCCCACACAAGGATGGACAAGATTCCGTGGCTCACACTTTTGAAGAGGTGAGATGTTTACAGGGGTTTGGAGCACCGGTGGCCGTCCACATCTATCGATTCTTTCCACCACCTCTGCCGGGATTCACTGTTTCCTACCCAGGGCTCATGTTCATCGAAACTGTGGGACCTGAGCCGGGAGGTGGTCCACAGGATGCCCCAGCTTTACTGGTCCTCCCCTAGGCAGAGCACTGACACACAGATACTTGTCACTTAGGTCTCCAGCTGTCACCATCTGCCTCTGTCCGCATCCTCTGAGACCACATGGATTTCCACTTTCCCATGTTGTGGGTTTTAGGAAAAAAGCATAGCATGTGTATGTGCTGGCCTTGTCGCTGAGAGTCCCATGTAAGGTTGGGGGTGAGACCACAAACAAGGACACACTGGCATTTCTCCTTGTGCCACGGCCGCATGATGCAAGGCCAGGACTGGTGACCAAGCCCCCTCTGAGAGGTTGTGTTTCATAAACTCAGAAACATCCTTGCGGGTGTGAGGATAGTTGTCATGAAGGCGCTGAGGGCCAGTCTGGTTTCCTCAGTGTTTTCTAGGAGCTCAGTCTCTAAAGATAGCAAGCAGGACGTCTACTCCTGTAATCTCATGGTTGGAAGGCTAGCCCAGGACTGTGCATTAAAGATAATCCTGCGCTAATAAGGGACCCTGACTGGGGGAAAAAAACACACCCCCAAATTAACTCCCCCCCAAATCCTAAAGGCAAAAGTAGTGAAGCCCATCACAGAAAGGCTGATATTTGAAAGAAGAAGCTCAGTGTCACACAGACCCAGGGCCCAGGACCGCACCCCAGCTCCATGGAGACGGATGGTTTCCTTCTGACAAGTTCCTTAAAAACAGCAACAAACTAACTCCTTAGTTATATGTTTTAATTTCATAAAAATACTTCAATTAGGCCAAAGAGAAGACTCAGTTTAGTTCTTGGGACCCACACAGTGGAAGGAGAAAATCAGCTGCTGGGAGTTGCTCTCTAGCCTGTCACATTCATAATGTCCTGCAAACGGACGGACATGCACCAAATAAACAAAAATGGGATGAAATTTTAAACGTTTGGTGCACTTGTGCACACACACACAGACATGGACACAGACACACACACATACAGAGACATACAGAGAAATACACACACACAAAGACACACAGAGAAATATGCACAGACACAGACATGCACACACACACACACACACA